GCGAATCCCTCTGGCATCAGCCACTGTTGGAAGACAGGATACTGGGGTAGATGGACCATTGGTCCCATGCACTGTGGCCATTCTCTGGTCCAATATTCAAACAGACGTTTGAAAAATTGGAGAGGGTGCAAAAGAGAGCTAGAAAAATGACTAGAGGGCTGGAGAAAATGCCTTCCAGTGAGAGATAGGAGCAGAGGAATTGGCTGAAAGACCGATTCAGGAGATGGCTTCATTGATATATATAAGTACCTCCCTGGGGAGAAAGTACCAGGCAGTAAAGGTCTGTAACTTAGTATAGAAAGGCTGAAGAGGAGCCGATGGCTGGAAGTTAAACCTAGACAGATACAAATGTAGAATAAAGCACTTTGGGTGGATCAGGGTTGTGCTGACACTGCAGATACAGTCTACCGGACTGTCCTGGGCCTCACCACAATGCGGCCCAATTGCCAGCATCTAAGCGGCAGCCCTTGGGTTCTGGGCTGTGTGGCCTAATGGGCAGAGACAATACAGCCACCCACGAGCACAGAGCGGTATGGCCTAGTGCCCAGGGTCAATATATCAGCCCTCAAGTGCAGGATTTTGTTTCCTAGGGGTAGAGTCAATATAGCGGCCCTTGAGTGCAGGGGAGCGTGGCCTAGGAGTCAGAGTGAATAGAGAGGCCCTCAAATGCAGGGGAGTGTAGTGTAATGGCCAAACCCAGGGGCCGTCACCAGAGGGGGTGATGCCCAGGGCAGGGGGACATGGGCCCACCCGACTCCACTGGGTCCTGACCCAGGGCCCTAGCAGTGGTGGAGTGGTCCACCACTGGGTCAGCGGGAGTCATAGAATCATAGACTCAAAGGACTGGAAGGGACCTTGAGAGCTCATCTAGTCCAGTCCCCTGCAATCATGGCAGGACTAAATATTAACTAGACCATCCCTGACAGGTGTTTGTCTAACCTGCTCTTAAAAATCTCCAATGATGGATATTCCACAACCTCCCTAGGCAATTTTTTCCAGTGCTTACCCACCCTGACAGGAAATTTTTTTCTAATGTCCAACCTACACCTCCCTTGCTGCAATTGAAGCCCATTGCTTCTTGTCCTATCCTCACTGGTTAAGAAGAACAATTTTTCTCCCTCCTCCTTGTAACAACTTTTTATGTACTTGAAAACTGTTATCATGTCCTCTCTCAGCCTTCTCTTTTCCAGACTAAGCAAACCCAATTTTTAATCTTTCCTCATAGGTCATATTTTCTAGACCTTTAATCATTTTTGTTGCTCTTCTCTGACTTTCTCCAATTTGTCCACATCCTTCCTGAAATGTGGAGCCCAGAACTGGACACAATACTCCAGTTGAGGCCTAATCAGTGCAGATTAGAGCGGAAGAATTACTTCTTGTATCTTGCTTACAACATTCCTGCTAATACATCTGAGAATGATGTTTGCTTTTTTTTGCAACAGTGTTACACTGCTGACTCATAATTAACTTATGATCCACTATGACCCCCAGATCCCTTTCTGCAGTACTCCTTCCTAGGCAGACCATTTCTCCAGTTTCTCTAGATCAATTTGAATTTTATTCCTATCCTCCAAAGCACTTGTAACCCCTTCCAGATTGGTATAGTCTGCAAACTTTATAAGTGTACTCTCTATGCCATCATCTAAATTATTGATGAAGATATTGAACAGAACCAGACCCAGAACTGATCCTTGTGGGACCCCACTCATTATGCCCTTCCAGCATGACTGTAAACCACTGATAACTACTCTCTGGGAATGGTTTTCCAACCAGTTATGCACCCACCTTATAGTAGCTCCATCTATGTTGCATTTCCCTAGTTTGTTTATGAGAAGGTCATGTGAGACAGTTTCAAAAACCTTACTAAAATCAAGATATACCACATCTACCGCTTTCCCCCCATCCAGAAGGCTTGTTATCCTGTCAAAGAAAGCTGTCAGTTTGGTTTGACACGATTCGTTCTTGACAAGTCCATGCTGTTACTTATCACCTTATTTTCTTCTACATCTTTGCAAATTATTTGCTCCATTATCTCTTCGGGTACAGAAGTTAAGCTGATTGGTCTGTAATTCCCCGGGTTCTCTTTATTTTCATTTTGATAGAAGGGCACTATATTTGACCTTTTCCAGTCTTCTGGATTCTCTCCCATCTTCCATGACTTTTCAAAGATAATTGCTAATGGCTCAGATATCTCCTCAGTCAGCTCCCTGAGTATTCTAGGATGCGTTTCATCAGGCCCTGATGACTTGAAGCCAACTAACTCATCTAAGTAATTTTTAACTTGTTCTTTCCCTATTTTAGCCTCTGATCCTACCTCATTTTCAATGGCATTCACTATGTTAGACGTCCAATCGCCACACACCTTGCTGGTGAAAACTGAAACACAGACGTCATTAAGCACCTCTGCCATTTCCACATATTCTGTTATTGTTTCCTGCCCTCATTGCAACACTGGAACATGCTGACCTTACACGGGTGGGAGATACCACTCCCTCCACCTCCCTGGGTCACTTCCGACCGGGCTTCCTGAAGCTGCAGTCCATATCACGTCGGGGTCTCCGGGCTCCTCGGCGCAGGTAATTCCCTGGGACTCCAA